TGCAATATATCTAAAAACTGAAATACTGTAGAAGAATTCACATCCTGGCACGAGTCCTTTTATCCAAACATCAGGTTACAGGCATGTGGCAATCAGACACATTAATCAGAGCGACTCATGGGAAACCCAACGCGCGAACATAGCGAGGCATCTCTCTGGTTCGAACTCTGGTGCAGTGTGTCCACCGTTCTATATAATTAAAAAATGTGTTAGGAGAGAGGGGCGTTGAAACAAACAAACAAAATCATTTTTAGAAGTTCTAGGAAATTATGAAATAATCCCACATGTACATATAGGTATAATCTTACATCATGGTATTTTTTCGTGAATATTCGAGGACTGCAAAAAAAATGGTAATCTATAATAGTAGTGAACAGTACAACTATTATAGATACACATATTGGTCTTTTCTGTTTGCATCGATCCCTCAAATAAGCATATTTATCTGTGAAATTTTACATGCACGAAAGGGAGCATATATATTGTGGAAAAAGTTCTAGAAATTTTTGGTACTTTAAAATGTGTTCTCTGCCTTTTATTTTTCTAAAAGGGGCTCCAAGTGACACTGCTCGTCAGTTCTGGAGTATACTACTAATCACATGCTTATAATAGTGCACAAGATGTGAGGCATTTTGGCTCTCAGGCTCCATAGAGCCCAAAATTTTCAAAAATTTAAAAATCAACTTTAAGTTTTAAAATAATCTGAAAAAGTTCTTATAGATGTATACTATATGTGTAAAATTTCATTATGAAATACTCTTTCTGTGTGAGCTGTAAAAAACAAATTCATGTACTTTTATAGTGAAAGTACATGTGCTAGAAATACATTATTTTGTTATTTTTGTGTAGCTTGCTATGTATTTCACCATGAAACTTTACAAACAAGTGATATGCATCCATAGTGTGTGCTTTTTCAGAACTTTTTGAAGTCTAAAAAATTAATTTTCAAATTTTCCAATTTTGGGCTCCATGGAGCTCGGGCTCCATTAGCAATTTCGGACTAGATGTACAGATCTTATGTTTTCAATTGTAGTCAAATCGGACTCTCAAAAAAGGATCTATAATACTCCCTTCGTCCGGAAATACTTATCATCAAAATGGATAAAATGGAATGTATCTAGACATATTTTAGTTCTAGATACATCTCTTTTTATCCATTTTGATGACAAGTATTTTCAGACGGAGGGAGTAAAAAATAG